CATCAGATAAAAGAAGTGACAGAGGGCACTGAAATGTCTTCATTTAAAGTTTGCCTGATACATAAATCCAGTAGAGTTTCATTGGCATCGCTGCAGAGTGTGCGATTTCCTCCCTGGAGATCTATCAACCCCCTCATTCTCCATTTCATTCTGCTCTCCTTCCATTACCCCTGAGTCATGTTTGATCATTGCAACTGTCTAAAATCTTTGTGACCTTGTTATATGCAAAGTCATTGTCCTTAATATGCCTCGCAATAAATTACATCAAGACGCTGTTGCCATAAAAGCCTTAAAAAAGCAATCAAGCGGAAATACAATCTGTTATGCGGAACAATCTGTTACCATGATGCATTCAGCGTCGCCTTCATCTTAGTGATTTTGATCAAATGGTTGACTGAACGATAAGGCCAGACATTTTTCCTCTTCTCACCTTTTGCCCTGTGGGAACTGCAATGCAATCAAAAGCTTCATTAAACATTGATGAAGATATACAGGCAGGGACAGATGGAGATACAGTAAATGCAACATAGAGTGATGCATGCCTTGCAGAGAAAGTCATTTACTGCCATGTATTCAGTAAGATATGTTAAAGTGCATTTCTACCTGCCTTTTTTTAATGTGCATCTTCAATTTGTGCATAAACTAGAAGTAAAAAAAAAGCTTGTATTCCTCCGCCCACCAGTGAAATTGTAGTTCGGTTCCGTGTCGGTCCTGATTCATGTAACACTTTCTAATACTTTCAATACTTGTATTGCTAAATGGACGTTATCATTCATGTAATGGCTAATACCCTTTTACCTGATGTAAAGATCGATTCTTATATAGATTATAGCTGTACAAAATGTGGTGCTTTTGTTTTCTCCTTGCATTTTTGGATGAAAAGCCTCTCTATGATCACACACTCCACACACATTGTTTGCAGTCACATGATTCCAATCATGCTCGAAATTCAGAATGAGGCAGGAAGTGAAAGGCATAATGGATGAGGTGGAAAGATAAATGCCAGTACTGTGCTAGGCATTGTTTACCCATTGTGTTGTCCCAGTCAACATGTGTGTGTGAAATCTGAAGTTCAATCTTTAAATTATTAGCTAAAAACCTAATTTGAAGTTACAGCGACCTTTGACTCACAAGTGTCACAAATTCAGTGTCCGACCAACTGTGAAATATGGCCGCAATCTCCCCTTCTGTTCCTGAATTATGGCGTTGAATAATGGACAGAACATTATGATGTCACAGTTAACCTTTCACCTTCTGGGTGAAAAATGTCATCACTTATCCCATTGAACATCTGTGTGTAAATATTTTTGACTTATGACCAAAAACATGTGATGACCTTGACCTTTGACCACCAGATTCTAAATCAGTTCATCCTTGAGCCCAAGAGGAAACTTTGAGAGAAAGTCAATTTGAAAAAAATCCCTTGAGGCGTTTGATTTGCTGAGATTTTGCGTTCAGAAGAATGGGATGTACGAAAGGACGGACAAGCTTGTTTAATTACATTATCTCAGTGCACCTTCTGTGATATTTAAAGGCACCGAACTGGAGGAGTAGAACCACTAGCTTTCTCGACTATCCTACTCCTAACTCCTAATTTTAGCATAACTCACTAGATGGAAACTAATATGCGTTAAATTTGGATGGAAAGGCGACTAAAGAAACAACATCTAAGGAGACAGTTTTGTCATTTAAAAAAAAAAATAGTTTAAAGCTCCTTATTGCATTTACTACTTACAAAAATTGCTCAAAAGCAGTTTTGAATAAGACAAATGAAGACAGAACTGGTGGTGACCTTGACCTCTGCCTGATTTTATGTATTTATTTATAAGTAAGTGTTTTTACCAAATAGTCTTAACCTGTCTCTTTTACATCTGATGCTTCCAAACGTTGAGCATTCAATTTCCTTTAATCAGCTTACCTACTGTATATATAATTAAACAATGTGGTTGAGGCATCAATAATTACCTGACAAGATAATTACCATTCAGCTCCATGTTAGTAATGAGCAAATGATAATATCACATTTACTTTTTGTTCATGTCCATGTGTTCATCAGCATTGGAGATAGTCGAGGAGACGTCACAGCCCAACCTAAGGCTGGACAAAGAAGACACATTCACTGTAACTTAAAATATATGCTATATTTTAATTTAAAAATAAAACTTAAATCAGAGTGAATGAAACCAAAACAACAGAAAGACTGCTACCAGCTTAAATAGAGTAGTAAGGCAGTGAGTGCAGGTGAGCCAAATCTCCCTGATTATCCTACACCACCCGCTGTGCTCCTGCAGGGAGAACCAAGGGAAACCTGTCCAGAGGGTTGTTACAGCATTAAGTATACTGCAAGACATGAAAACATGGTAATAATATAAAAACAATAGAGAGAATACTGACAAGTTCAGCTAATATACTTGAGTATACTTTTTAATTTGGGGTTCCCTATTTACAGCCCACTGCGGATTTACGCTCTGTAATCTTCTTCCCACATTTAACTTAATAGAGGAAACGTCCCTCTTGTCTTGAAATACCTTCGCAGTATTTTTTACAAGCTCATTTTTCTTATCTCCTGCTTCTTTCTCTTTGCCTTTTATGAGGCAGAACGAGGGAAGGGAATACAAAGATAGCAGGTATCATTTGGGGAAGATCCCAGTTCATGGGTGAAGCGAACTAATGATGCAGCAGAATTATATCAATGTGATATCCCAGCATGCTCAGATTTACTAAGTAATTTAAGCCCAAAAATGTGTTTTTTAAATTATTTTCTTTAATATTCTATGTCTTAATTTTGTTGTTTGGGATTTTCAAAGCTCAGTGGTTCAATATTGATATGTTTTTAAAGGGGAAAATTATTTCTTCCGTGACTTCCTGAGAAAATAACCCTGATGACATCACAATGACGTAATTTGGCTCAAGACTTCGGGTGTTTAGCAGAAAGCCTGCATTACAAACTGGAAATGTGGAGTTTGACAGACGTCAGAGTTTACCAGTCAGGGTAGGCTTATTGACACTATCAAGTTGCATTATGGGAAATATAGGATTTAGTGTTTTTGGCGCTTGACCCATACTAGGGACTGTCAGTTAAAATATTTCAGCTTCTGTTGCTTCGATTTTGACCATTTCTGTTTTAAAAGTGTTTTTGTGACTCCCAGCATTTTGTGGATGCACAATGCTAAATTGCTGGAGTGTTCCTTTAATGTAGCTGCAGTACCAGTGTTTTGGGTATTGGCTGCAATATCAAAAATATAGAAGTACACAATAAAAAATGACCAGGTCAAAAGTGAACCAGTTGGAATCAATAAAGCACTAACATAATACTGGGTCAACTTTTCCCAGTGCCATTGGGTAAACCACCGATATATATTCTTTATATTATTGCCCTGTTGTTTGCACTGGCTGTTTTACTCTTGCTCTTTTTAAACTTAGATGTCACTATCTGTTAATGATATGTATGCGTCTGTTATGGTTTTTAGTCTCATCTGCATATTGCTTTGTACAAACATTAGATTTGTGTGAATTTTAAGGTAAAACTTGAGCTTGTTTTTGTCTGACCCAACAGTAAATAACACTATCACTGGATCAAAAAAACACAATGGTTCTGGGTGAAGTCAACCCAGTATTGTGTTGGTGCTACATTAAACTGTTTCATCTTGTAACCCAATGATTTTAAATGTATAGAAAATGAACTTGCTTAATAAAACCTACAGTATTTATTTATTCACTTGTTTGATTATTGTTTCCATGACAGTGGATAACCCACTGGCCTTATTTTGTTGACCTTTTGCATTCTGTATTTGTATGACATGCAGATATAGACAATTGCTTCGGTTTTCCATTACAGTAACTCTGTAATGTTCTGCAGCAGGTTAGCGGCTGGTTATGGAAAGGCTGATGATGCTCCAATTAAAAATGCTGGCAGTGTTGCACCACATATAGCTCTTTATCCAGCCTCAGGCAACCTGTAGCTTCTAATGTAAGCAGAGAACCATCAATGTATAAAATAGGGGCATGACCTCACATATTCCTACCGCTGTTTTCTACCATGAGGAACATTGAGCTGCCAATGGATTGACCCAATAGTGGGCTTTTGAGCATTCAAGGCAATATTTTTTCAGGACTGAGGGTCATTTTGTGTCGTCGGGGGTGGAGTGGAGGCAGTCAGGAGAGCTGGGAGGCAACTGGGCGGAATAGCTCGTTAATTGAATGCCGGTTTGGATTACACAGATGACTGAACTTGGCATTATGATGGAGCAAATTCATGTTCACCAATAACACATATCCTGTGAAATCACACATACATATACATACACAAGAGGGTATGAAGTTCCGTTTTTAGGAGGTAGGAAGATACACAGACCTGTGGAATATTTTGCTTTTCTTGCTGCAAAACAGTAAACATGAAATTCGTTCACTGATCTGACAAGCTAATCCTCCTGAACTTGTATTGAATGTTTGTCCTCTCCTCTCAGAAATCAATAGGACAGAATCAAAAGAGACACACTGCACCAGGATATTTAGCAAACTGACACGTTTAATGAGATTAATACAGTTCGTAACCATTGTCTGCACATATAGTATAAACACAGATAATGAATTGAAGATAACATACTCAAATTGGTCCTATAAAATAATAAATATTCCAGTGTACACAAGAATACTAGGATTAACACTATTTATTAACAAATTACATTAAAAACAAAAAGGAGCGAACTACGTATTTTGTACATCGCTTCATGTCAAATATTCACTGATGAAGCAACATGCGAAACATGTAGTTTGCACCGTATTGTCATTAATGTCATCTATTGATAGCCATTTGTCAATCCTAACAACCCTTAGTGCACTGGAATACACATTTTTTGCATCGTTTGTTTATACAGTGAAGATCTGTGTGCTGATCCCTGTAGACAGATCACAGGCACATTTGATTACTTGTTCACAGAGCACACGCTTCAGTGTCTTCAGTGTTCAATCTTTTGA